CCCTTCACGAGTAGTGGTTTTTCTGCGGCGTATTTTTCTTTCAGCGTTCCCATTACGCTAATCTCAGTTCATCGTTGTGTTTCTTTTCGTCCTGGTTGTTCTTTTGCCTCGTTCTTTATTTGAAATATTACCTCTTTTTATTGTCCCTTTCATCGTTGAGCATGTGAATAAATAAATCATGAGGTGACTGAATACATGCATATATGATCACCTTATATCTCAACAATATAATCAATCCATTGAAAGCACGTTCACCAGGAAGTCACGTGATAACGAAAGTTAAATCTCTTTTTGTCTGTATCAATCACATCATAGCATTCATCGACTTGAAATATTAGGTATTTTCCCATCGCCAAACTATTATATAATTAGTCGGGAACAAGAATCCGTTGTGGCCCACAGCTGATACAGTTGTTCATACATGCCTGTGGCCCGATTAACTGATCGATAGGTCGATTTATTGTCTGACTGCTTGAATTCCGACTTTACGGCACTCGGATGTGGTGCAACGTGTCAGCCGGCGTTGGCCTCCTGCCTGCCTTCCTACGTGTTGTCCGTTTAAGCTTGCTCTCCGGTTTATGAACCGGCTACCTATTTGCCGTTTGCAAAAAATGTACTGCTCATCTATCTACCCAACTTGGGACACAAGAGAATCCAACTCACCAAAGGTGAATAAAAAATAAATATTTAAAAACAGTGGCGAAACCGCACAAGCAACAATAATAAATTTCAGGTAATACAGTCACATTTCCGACTGTCTGAACTTAAAACTCTTAGATAGGGTGCTTAATCGGCAAACAGACTATCTGCGCTGTGAGTCTCGAGAATAACATCGAATGTCTGTGTGTGCACTGTTACACTGTTCCAGCAAAGGAAGAAGTTTTATGCAGCACCCTCTATATTGAGCCCTCCAATCGTGGAGTGAGAAACTACGCATATAATCAGAATTATTCTGTGTTGCATTTTCTAAATGAAAATATCTGGTACTTCAACCTGAACAACACTGGGAAATATCTTAGTTGTTCTTGATGCGTCAGCTACATTTACGTCAAATAAATTCATTTCTCAATAAAATAAGCAGGGTAAAATAAGAAAATATTGGTTAACTGAAACAGTAAAATTGAGATTGACTGATGAAGAACTCTTGAAGTTTTTGATCAGAGCGGTGACAACTGTATTCCACTCTGTGCTTGACCTCAGTCATTATAAGTAGTGTTGTTTTATTTCAATTTGTGAGTTTTAGTGTCTGAAATATCTATAACGTTTAAACTCACACGGTGGTCAGTCTTTAGTTATTGCCATCAACTTTTGCACAATTATGCATTGTATATTGGTCAAACTGTAAAAGCCACATATTTATTTATCTTTCGGTAATCTCTCGTGTGATAGTATAAACGCGAGGGCATGGATGCAGGTTATGACTTATTCTGCATGCTTGTTATGAAATATGAAATGCGAATCAGCGAATAGTATTTAGTGCTGGTGCTTTGTCCAATGAACTGTTTGCTCTTACGCGACAAGAAACACTCTGTCCGATTGAATGATCAATCAACACTGCGTTTATTAAAGCGAAATTCGTGTCCAACAGAAACCTGAGGATCTAACTGAATTGAATTGAATTATTTGTTCCATTTTATACCGATCACATTTGCCCTATTCCCCTGTAATTTTTCTTCAAGCTGGACAATGCGGATGAACAAGCTGCTCAGGTACGCCGAGAACTGGATGGTCAACTACAAACGGCCGAGGAGTTAGCCAGAGTACGTCCAAGCACTGTGTGGTTGCTTTGTTTCGTTTAGTTGGGAGTGACAGCAAGACATGTATGAGCCGTTGTTTCAAAATCATAATTTTTTTTATTCTGAAGCGAAGTAATAAATTTTGTTTCCAGTTACTAAATTCTGTAGAAGAGTATGAATTAATCTCCAGATATTGTTTTATAAGAAGAAAAAAACTGTCAAGACAAATAAAGTTACATGCTACCTGAGGGATAAAATTTGCACGGTCGATTTCAGAGATAAACTGTGACGGCCTCATAGCTCACCTGGTACAGTATAGGTTTTACAAAAGATTATGCGAAGACTGTGTATGAATTTGAATTTGGATGAGATTACTGATCTCTTCACAACTCACTCAGATATCTTTCAAAATCACAAATCGAAGAATGAAACAGTTGTTAGCGGACCTGGATAGCACGACAATTCAGTGTAACTGAAATAGTTCAAAGGAGATAGAGGTGCACTGACAGATGATATACATTGGTCTCATGTTTATGCAAGACAAATGAACGGAAGTAATATCAAAACGTCCCTTAGACGCAGCGAGAAAGACCTCCCATACAGCAAACCTTAATGTGTTGTTCCCAACCTGCCCAATTATGTTTCTGACAGAAAAATAAAATGCCTGGATCTGCCGTCTCTATCTATTTATGATCAGTCACAAATTGGCAAACAAGCTCGTTTTTAGTGCATCCGAGTCATATAGATACAACACAGTGTATGCATGACTAGCCACATATTGGGATTTGGGAAGGAAAACAGACAGTGATTGAGATTAACACCATCGAGCGAGTTCCCAAAGAATTCAGATAGATTCGTCCAGAATTTGTTTGATGAAAACCTAACGAAAGCATGGAAGAATTTATGATCGTTGGGACCAAAGTTCTGCTCTTCAGGGAGAATATTCAAGAAACTATATATAGGGGTCGTATTCTCTCGTCTCGGTTGGAAAGGGAACAGCTCACGTTCACTCTGGTGAACACTTATTATCAATATCAGAGTGCCCAATCATCAACTAACGGATTATTGATGGAACGAAATGTTAAAATGCCAAGGAACATGAAAATTTTCTTAACGAAACCGAACAAACTTTCTGGTATCGTCCTACTGAATAAATCAGACTACATCCGGAAGTTGGCGATGAACCTGAATTATGAAGTGAAGTTCACAAAATGTTCCCAATAAAACGAGAAACGGCCACTTAAAATAGAGAAGGCCCTTTCTACTACATTATTAAAGCTTAAAAAGGCTCTATGGATACTTTAAACTGGTTCATCTCTCAGTGATTACGATTTCACGGCTCTCAGGGATGCTCAAAGTACGTATGACTAGTGTTCCTCTCCGACTGATTCTTACCACCCGGCGACCAATGGTTATCTTGTTTTCTGGAACCGGTGAGGATTATCATGTCTCAGCATAACTTTTAGGGTNTACACTCGATCTCATTGAAGTCTTGTATGACTCAATTATCAAAGAACGCCATTCGTTTTCGCTGTATATTACATCTCTCTTCACAAGTGTTGCGACGGGCGAAAGAAATGATTATCTGTGCAGTTATCTCGAAGGCTACGGGATTAACATGCACCTACCAAAAGATGACCTAAAACGTTTGCTTTTCTTCTGCACTTAAAGTTTGCCGAGGTAATCTGTCGCCAGAAGGACGGTGTGGCAATGACATTCCCAGCAGTGTCCTTGTTTGCAGATATTTTCATAAAGACGAAATTTGTGTGCGTCACCGATTTCATAAAGGAATAATAAAGTTACGCAGTTTGTTTAACCCGTCGCGAAGACAGGTCGATTAGGCGATCAACGCAGGAATAAAACGTGGAACGGGCAAAACATTCATTTCCGAAGCCTTATATTACTCATACCCTACTTGGCATGATTAAGAGGCGCTGAAAAAGAGCAATCTTGTACTTACTGTCCTCACCATGTGTTCTATGGGTCTGTTTAAACATATAATGTTTCAGTTTTTTCTGTGAACAAGTGGCGTGATCAGGTGATTGCCCAGATGGGCTTATGTACACTATCCTTCATGGTTGAACACTGGAACGGTTGCTCATTGAGTGTACACCAAGCTTGAAATAAGTAATAACGCATTGTGAATGTGAGTTAAGCAAGTTTCACCCTCACTGTATGACAGTGGATAATAAAGACGGGCAAGAGGAGTGAAAATTCGTCTGTACAACCAACCTCCTCTTCTGCGGTTTCCGTGTAATCATTGCCAATCCGACATTCGATCTCAAGATGAAATTTAGCCCCATTATTCTGTGACAGGAATTTTCTGTGGCTACTGATATATTTTGTGATGTATTATTAGGATCATGAGTCACTAACAAAGGAGTTCTCTTTTTTATAGTTTATTCTTCCTTTACTCTGTGATCCTTTTGCAGACCAGTGGAACAAGCCAAATACTCTATGGAATTGACAATATTTCATCATTCAGTTGTAGGACGCTTGCATGAGTCAGACCAATTGTGATGGTATTTGCTGTTTCACTGTGATTCACTGAAAACTGAAAACTGAAAAACAATGTTCACTTTTACTGTCCTTTTTGAGGATCACTGCCACTGCATATCCATTGAACACACGGGTATTCCAACCAAAACAGGTTGGCTTTATGTGACAATTTTCCAACGTCGGTTCTCATCGACCAATTCATTCTCAATATGTGCAGATTCCTTGTTTAGACGCAACAGGATCCGCATAGATACTGCGCATTCGGGAATCGATCACTATCTGATGCTATCTACTAGATCCAAAAACAGCCAGGAATAGGCGCAATATTTGAATTAGGGTTGGCGTGTTGAACGCCGCTCATAGCCAGCCAGAATGATGTAATATTTTAGAAAGTCAGAGTGACAAATCACCACGATTTGTTCGAGTCTCACTGGATTGGTCAAATAAAAGTGGCATATCTGAAAATTCAAACGGATTCACGAACATTTAAGGTAATCAATATCTATCCTGCCCTGGACTGTCGTTGAGTGGTTGAGTAATACGTGCAAATAAACCCAAAAATCCATTCCAGTTAAAAGGATACCAGTATTTTACGTGTGTTTAAGCAATAAGTAGAGCAGAAACAATGTATCATTCATTAAACTGTGGTTTAATCTGGTACTAAGTAGACAAGCGAGAAATACAATGTCAAGCGGTGATATTAACTAACCGGTCACTTAATGAAGCGGGATCAATGTACAAGGATAGTTGTGATTTAAGAGACATGGATTAAGAATCACGGCAACTCGGATGAACAGTGGTCAATGCAGAGGTTGACTCAGTCTTACACCCTCAAAGGGGAGAATTGAGAGGGTAATCCAGCAAAGGGGCAGATCACAGACGATCGAATTCGCTGCCCATGGAACGAAACACTGGACATCCGGATAAAACGACAATAAGTAGCGTGAGATGGCTGAGCCATGCGGAATAATAATAATGGCCCAGTGTATCGGAACGGAGCATGCCACGAACGGGCGAAGTCCGTATACAATTACGACCCACAATAAACATAAAAAATACAAACGTTCGGGGAAAATGAAGACGGCAGTAGGCGTGGCAACCGCATATGTCGTGTGGCGTAGAAAACCTCTGTGGGTGTTCTAGTGGAATGACATATAAGACATGTACAAAACCAACGTCATTCATCATGATACGGTATGAATAGCCGAATTTTAGATCGTCACCATAAAATTTTCCATTCACAGAAAAATGTTCGAATTGTTACGACCCACTATTGTTCATCCCTCAGCACACGCACCTCTGGATTACACACATCTCGATAATTGACAACTGACAACTTTGATTGTCGACGGAAGAGGTTAGCAGATTAGAGGATGAATAGATTTTAAGCGCTCCAAAGTGAAGACTTAGATGCGTCACAAGAGAAATCGAGAACAAACAAATAAATACATAATCCGAAGTAAAGTAGTTGCCTCCTTAGAAAAATCTCCGTATTGGTGGTCAAATGGTTCGATACTTTGTGTACACACTTTTAAGATACATATGGAACCTGAAATAACTTTTCCCGATATGAACTTATGAACATATGGAACCCATTAATTTTCTGTTCCTCTGAGACGTAAGACAAAACGTAAACCTTGTTCACTGTGTGTGAGTTTGTGTGTGTGTGTGTGCGTACGTTGAGGGTGTGTGGGCGAGAGACGGTGTGAGTAGCAAATCACTACATCTTTGTTGATTCGTCAGTTTTCATTATAGTTGTCTCTTTGATGCGGTCAAGATCAAGATTTCTGTCACCTATGACATGCATGACCTAATCTCAATCACCAGCATGTCGGTAGAGCAGCCGCGCCAAAAATGATGAAAAAATAGATTGGCTCAGAGGTTTAGTTGATAACCATAATGTCAGTAGAAAACAAAGCATTTCACGTGTTGGTGTTAGTTCATTTCAAATGAGTTGTGTTTTAGGTGAACATGGAGAGAGAGAAAAGCAATGATGAAATATCTATCAGAATTTAATATATTGAAAAATGATTATTACTGACATTTGCGGTTCATAAATAATTCATCCCGATTATGATTGGTTAGAACTGTTTGCCTCTGTAGAATCCCAGCGAGTTAGGGAGTTGATTTACGCAACACCTGTTGTATTACTGGAGACTTCACCGTTTTTGCGAAATGCGTCCATTTTGAATTTTGTTGTTCAACACCAACAGACCGCACGTGAAATCCGACAACGCATTCTCCCATACTAAAAATGATGACAAATTTTCCAAGTTATTTTCCTTTTCTCAAAAGTTGTTTGCAGTCTCATGAACTCCCTTTGATCTATGGTGCATTACACACTCCAACCGGTGTGAATTAGGAATTGCTTTTAACCATTTCGGATCACATAAGACAATTGTTAGTTTCACCTGGTCATTGATTGATAGATCAGTCAAATGGTTTGGCTTATTGTTCGATTTAAAAAAAAATATACGGTATAGCTTTGCTGAACTGGCAAGCTCGAGTGAAATCAAAAGCAATGTAACAGACCCAGATCAACAGTTACTTGAAAATGCACATCATATTCTTATCGGAAGGTACTTCAAGAACCCAAGATCAGTCTTTCAGCACAGACTGTGTATAGCATAACCTTTTACCAAATACAATCAGTCGTAATTAACTTGTCATTGTGACCAAATCACTTCCGGTCTCCGCTATGTCATATTCCATACCGTTACTCTTGGTACCGCGCCATCATCATCCAGGTATCCATCCCCCCCCCACCCACCGTTCCCCTTGAAAATCGCACCGCAACGAAATCACACAAATTATCTTAGTTGTGTACCTAGAAAATCAGACAGTGAAATGAACCAAATCATGGATCGCAACAGAAATTACGTCTATTTGTCTGCTCCCCGTAGACCGGATGTATATATTAGTGAATTTTACGGAAAAAATTGCTTGCTGCTCTAACTCAATGATGTCCCTTTCTATTCTATTCTATTCCAATCCATTCTGTACCACAGTCTCGCCAGCTACCCCGTTTAGTGATGAAAGACATGGAACCGCTATATACGGAAGAATTGAAAAAGATGGTCGGCGAATTAATGCTACGTCTTGAGGCCGTCCCGGTATCTAAAGGATCGAGTAGTTTTCAAAAATTCAAAAAGCACAATCGCAATCAGAGCTCCTCGGGAAGCGGTTCATCTGGCACTCTGTATCGGGACTATAGCGAGGATTCGGTTGAAATGAATTTGAAAAGCAAATTAGACATTCAGTTAAATTTCACACTCGAAGTAAGTATGCATGTACAGTCCTAATTTCATCTGTGAGTGAGCCTCTTTCCGGATCTCACGGATTAAGTTTTTTCTTTCTTCACTTGCGTGTTTGGTGTTTAGTGGGGGAACTGATTCCAGATAGCCCAGAACTGATCAATTTCCGATCATGAGCGTTATCTCTGTTTTTCTGGTGGAAGTCAAAATACATGTTAACTAGTTAACAGGCGTCGGATACTTTGTAAATCAGTAGTTCACATTACCCCCACTAAAATGTACCTGATCTCAGGATTTCTCAGGATTTCGAACATTTTGGGTGGGAAAACGGAAGCTACCCATAAATACACCACTGCACAGAGGCAACACGATTAAAGTTCGAACCCTAGAGAAAGAAATTCACTGGATGAATCAATTTGAAACGAAAAGCCACTTCAGTAGTTTCGTTTCTAAACGAGATAAAACTGAACACTAACAGATGTAGCACAGTATGGGGCATACATTGAAGGGTAATTTCAATAACGAAACGGGAAGGAATATAGGCCTGAACAAGACCATTTTGTACCTGTAACCAATTATTCTGCATCATTTATGGACAATGTAAGGAGCAATACACCTGTTCGCCTCAGCGAATCAAGTGTCGGTATTGATCTGTCCGCTGTGATTGGTCCGTTGGCGGCACAGCTTGGTAGCTCTCAACTTCTAGTAACGCTTACGCCGGGGCATGACATGCCTGGGTGTAGACGACCTACCTACTCACCGGCCTACAAACGGCCCATGTGTGTGTCCATACCGCAAGTAGACGGACCGTTTCATTAAGTGCGCACATATCCATTCATCATCTTTGCCGACGTTTTATGAACATTCAGCCCAATTTATTCTGCCATTACCCTTCACGATGGCCACTATTTTACATAAGCGTGCTCGTTCTCCAAAGATCGGTTATCTGACAGAGAGGTCAGGTCTTTATAGACAAATGGAGATTGCTTAAACCCTCGCCAGCGTATGAAATCCAAGCAATGTGCTTTATGATAGTAATGTCGTACACCGGTTATTTACCGTTTTCTAGTTGTTTCATTCATTTATTGTCGTGATAAAATTAAAACAAAATCTGTTTGCTGTTCAGCATGCGTTATTATTCTGCACGTTCTCTCATTGGAAAGTATCATATCTCGCTTTATAACTTATGCTAAACATCACCCGGGAATCGCCTCTGTTTTACAGATACAGAAATGAAATCACTTCGTCAAACGACAGTGTTTTTTTAATACCATGTGATATATTGTTTTTTTCATCAAGGAATTGGTTTGTAGTCAGGTTCAAGGTTTGGGTATAGTTGATGTTATTTTAGTACCCAATGCTAGAACTTAAGCACTGCTGACTTATACTACTCAACAACAACAAGTGGTTTATAGTTGCATTTCATCGTAAAATTGACTCAGACACCAAAATGTAATAATTGGCGTTTCCCTGTTTGAATTACCGATTTACTCCTTCAACGGCTTCAAAATTATTACTTTACCCGCACCCCAGGTTGTACATTGTAGGAGTTAAGTTTTTCATGTTCTGGATTCCGGTTGTTTGTAAAGAACCGATTACTGTTCAGTGTTTCTGGTACGCTAATAGATACCGCCTATTGGTCGATATAGTCGGTTTATACGTGGTGAGTTAAATGGTAAAAATGTAATGCATTTGAAGTCGACGGGGTGAGTTAGACAAGAAGCTTTGTGGTTCAAAATGTTTTCATTTTTATTGATTCCGGCTACCAGTGTTCTCAGCATGAACACTACTGGATCCTTATTCCCCTAACAGCACCCACCTTCGCTGAAGTAATCTGTTGAATGTGGCTTCGGGGAAGTTTAGGACAGTTCATCTATCCTAATCGAAGTCATTCTGCGACCAGTTTGAACCCATGCATTGATCTCCAGGTTCCAGTATCATTTCGAAATTAAGAAATAGTGTGATAAGCATCACTAATTCTATAGGTTAAATTCTGGCGAAAATAAATGTTTTCTTCCCAACCATAGGAGGGACACAGTACGGAAGTAGACCAGGTTTCTTTTACCCCAATTGAACACCCAATGAATTCAAAATTGGGACTCGTCAGGAACTTGTAATGACGGAAATCCATTTTGGAAGAGATTAGTTTGACACTGTTAAGTAAAAAAACTGAGAGGTGGGGGGGTCGTTCAACGGATCTTGGCATTAAATTTGCTAAACGACGTTTTATGTGGGTGACTCCCCTTATTTATGTGTCACCAATACCTTATTTAAAATTCGTGCAACTTCCGTTTTCCTGCGAGTAAGTAAACTTACTCCTGAAAAATTCCGTTAGAACAAAACCCGCCCGCCCCTCTCACCCTGTCTTTTCCCATCAGTGATCCGACTCACGTGCCAGGTTTGTTTTTCCACGAGCACCATTGGAATACATTTGCATAGAAACTCCACAATTCATAACTTGGGCTCTGCGTTTATGGGTAGAAAAACAAGGCAATCTGAGAACAGTAGCGAAATGGTCAAGTGTGAAACGACCTTTCTCGTCCTTTTACCTCATGGTTATTCGAATTCTGTTGTTTTTCATTCTGATGGATGGTCATTGAGTGTTGTTCTGTTGGACTAAATTTTAAACCCAGATGCATGTATACGTCGTGTCTATGTAGTTAAATAACGGTTCAACATTTGAACGACGCAGTACAATGGAGCGGTAAAGAATACCACTAGAAACGTTATGGTCAACGGTATGGTTGGGATACTAACAATCCTATTTTGAAAGCTGAAATACAAATTTGGCCAATTCGCTTCGTTTCAGGTGATTGATCAGAAGCGGATATTTATTACAGTCTAATTGAAGTATGAACACGTATAGTTAAACAAAATCCACGAAGATGGATAGGGTTTGATAGATAGCGAATCGATTAATATCTAGTCTGTTGCTTACTAAATAAAAAACTGGAACTATATGGTGTTCACAGATCGATTACTTCAAACATTAGAAAAATCTATAAACATAATTTGACTATACGCATCATCTATGCGCACCATTTGGCACCTGAAGATCATTGGCCTGAATACACACATGAATGTGGGCGAAATCCATCAATGTCGAGTACAAACTGCAACAGGTACACAAAGAAAGCTTTATTCCAACTGTCTCTCCTGGAAGCAGCCCCCAAAGCTTTTGATAATAGTGAATCGATTCACCGATTCACAACAAGTTGATCTGAAAAATCCCACAGGAAGGTAACAGCACCCTATTTTGACTATGCCATTTGGGTTTATATGTACTCAGTGCAACGTATTATGGTTTTTCTCATGGTGTCTATGTTGCTTTCACTATTCAGTTGTTCCCTCATTCCTTTAAATGTTAAATTTATGCCGTTTAGCATGGGAGCTGAGAAGTAGCATTTAAGCGTTGTTTCATCTTTGTTGAAACCCAAACCTTGAACCTTCAGGTGGGAAACAGAAAGACTTACTCGTAAGCTGCTCGGATCACAACTTTTTTTTCAGGGAATGACTCGAAAATAGGAACATCAGTCTTAGATCAAAGCTTTTGTGGTATGAGTCTTGGTTGGGACACCTTGCTAACGGGTTTCTGTAAGGATGAGACGACTGTTATGCCCTTTGTCAAACATCACACAAAAGGTATATTCAATCGTAAGGAAGAATAACAGAAGATTCTACTGAAACTCGCAAAAGAAACAGCAAGCCCCATATTGATATGGCTACTCTGTACGTAAGTGAACTAGTTTTATGTTATCCCCTGTTTTTGATGATCACAGAGTTTGAATTAGCCACTTTCAACTTTACTTTATCCATGATTACCACGTCCGTCCTAACGGCGCGCCTCTTCCGTGATCTAAAAATTGATATCGCTTTCACAAATATCTTGATCACTTTGGTCTGTCTCCTTGTGGGTTCGTTCGCTCACTTTGTAAACTATCCATGGTCACGATAAGATCAACCAAAATGCTGACATCTCGTGACACGTATATTTTTCGTCCTAATGCGATGGATAAAGCGGATCCGATGCAACAAAATCTTTGGTTGAGCGTTTTGTGAATTCGTTTAGCTGTTCCACGGTTTCACGGTGTCTCGTGGTGTTTTTATTTTCAGATTGTGGTCGGGCAAGTGAAAAATCTGAAACACTTACCTGCAAACAAAATGGTTTATTGCACAATGGAAGTTGAGGGCGGTGAGAAGTTGCAAACCGATTTGGCAGAGGCCGGTAAACCAAGGTGAGTTCAAATGTCGGATTACGAAGGCATTTATGTCTAGCTAACACAGACAAATACGAATTGCGTGTCGGCCGATTGTTACCTTGGGCTACATATTATTTTCACCAATATTTAAATCAGTGCAGCTTTCAACTGCAACCCGATTTCAGATAATAGTAGTGCGGCTGTTCGTAGAAAAGTTCCAAATTAATTTACCGTCAGTAGTGGAATAGTTGGTTCAATTTCAAAGGTGTATTCGTCGTGTATATAACAAATAAAGCGTGGACTAAAAAGATAGGAAGCATTGGACGGCTGCTTCGACCTGGTTGGGTTTCATCAGCAGTTCGAATCCGACCACCCAACTGGGGATCGAACCGGGGACCTCACGAGCAGAAGGCAAGCATGTTACCCACTCGGCCACCGGGTAACTGATCAGACCGTTTTTTATTTTTCATTGTGAACGTTACCAACCGAGTCATAATCTGGAAGCTGGTACTGAGATGAGCAGGGTCTGTGGCCCACAACAAGCTCGTAAAATGGGTTATGCTGTACCATGTGAATGGAAAATGAGAAAAGGTCTTCTACACTAGTTTTACATTTTTGTCATACATTTTCACCGGAAATGTGCCTCGACCACAAAGATTCGTTATCACGCGGTGCTATCCGAACTTATTCTGAACAAATGGTGTCAGAACCACACGAAATTATCCATTATACGGTATTTGAGTAACAAAAGGTGAGAAGTATCTAACCTTTCAAATCACAAAATTAACCTATAGTCATAATCAAAACACAGGTTGTAGGCGAACATATGTTTTCGGTGAGTTCCTTATCAAGTCAGTACAATCACATTCATGTGAGAAAATAACGGGAAAGTGTTGTGTTGGGGTCAAACAGTCAAGGTCAGATAATTATAGCAATAGCGTGGGGTAGGAACACATTTGTCACTCGTTCTCATGTTCAGATAAGAACGT